ATAAACCAACAGCCAATATCATACTAAATGGTCAAAAACTGAAATCCTTCACACTAAAATCAGGAACAAAACAAAGATGTCCACTATCACCACTCCTGTTCAATATAGTCTTGGAAACATTAGCCATAGCAATTAGACAAGAGAAAGAAATAAAAGGAATAAAGATAGAAAATGAAGAAGTTAAAATGTCATTATTTGCAGATGACATGATATTTTATATAGAAGACCCCAAGAACTCCACCAAAAGTCTTCTAGACTTAATAACCCAATTCAATAGAGTAGCTGAATACAAGGTAAACACACAAAAATCAATAGCCTTCCTGTACACAAACAACAGACTCACAGAGAGAAACTGGAGAAACAACTCCTTTCACAGTAGCATCCAAAAAAATGAAATACCTAAGAATCAACCTAATGAAAGAAATTGAATACCTCTACTCTGAAAACTATAGTACTCTAAAAAAAGAGATCAACAAGGATGTCAGAAAATTGAAAGACATTCCTTGCTCCTGGGTAGGAAGAACCAATATAGTGAAAATGGCCATACTTCCAAAGCTGCTGTATAGATTTAATGCAATGCCAATTGAAATTCCAACAATATATTTCACAGGACTAGAGAAAACAATCCAAAAATTCATTTGGAACCAAAAGAGACCTAGAATAGCAAAAGCAATTCTAGGCAACAGAGACATGGCAGGGGATATCACAATCCCCAACTTGAAACTATACTACAAAGCTAGTGTGATAAAAACAGCATGGTACTGGCAAGGAAACAGTCCCAAGGATCAGTGGAATAGATTAGAAGAAACAACTCCAGACACACTCAGCCACCCCATGTTTGACAAAGGAGCCAACCACCCTCACTGGAGGAAAGATAGCCTTGTTAATAAATGGTGTTGGAAAAACTGGATTTCAACCTGCCAAAGATTAAAACTATACCCATATCTATCACCATGCACTAAACTAAGATCTAAGTGGATTAAAGATCTGAATATTAAAAACAGAAACACTAAAACAGCTGGAACAGAGATTAGGTAGAACTCTTGAAGACAGTGGCGTAGAAAAAGATTTTATGAACAAAACCTCAGTTGCACGGGAACTAGCACAAAGAATCAACAACTAGGATCTCATCTTATTAAAAACCTTCTGCACAGCAAGAGAAATAACCAACAGTGTGAAGAGACAACCTGCAATGTAGGAAAAAATTTTTACCAGCTGTTCCTCAGACAAAAGTCTATAATCTAGAATACATAAAGAACTTTAAAAAAATCAGAGCTCCTAAATTTAAAGACCCAATTCAAAAATGGACATCTGAAATGAACAGACAAAGATGTAGAAATGGCAAATAAACATATGAAAAAATGTTCAACATCATTGGTCATTCAAGAGATGCAAATGAAAACAATACTGAGATTCCACCTCACCCCAGAAAGAATGGCTGCTATCATGAAATTAACCAATAATAAATGCTGGCGGGGCTGTGGGGAAAAAGGAACCCTTTTCCACTGCTGGTGGCAGTAAAGACTGATGCAACCACTGTGGAAATCAGTGTGGAGATACCTCAAAAACCTAGGATTAGAGGTCTCATTTGACCTAGCTATTCTCCTGCTGGGTATCTTCCCAAAAGAATTAAAAGAATCATACCACAGCGATATATGTGCACCCATGTTCATAGGAGCATGTTTTGTAATAACAAAAACTTGGAAACAGCCCAATTGCCCATCAACTGAGACTGGAAAAAAGAAAATGTATTTTTTCTACAAAATAGAATACTACTCAGCCATAAAAAATGAGAAGCTAGAGACATTTATAGCTAAATGGACGCACATTGAGACCATCTCTTAAGTGAAATAGGACACACATGTGTAAATACCAAATAGTTGCTCTGGTATGAGAAACTGAAAGTGTAAATAAGGATCAAAATGTACAATAGATAATGTGAAATAGGAAAAAAGGGGACAAAGGAGAAGGGTAAGTGGGAAGGGTAGGGGACAGTAAGAAAGGAAGAAATAAATATGAAAAAAGGAAAAAATAGGAACAAAGTCTTTATAAATAGGGAGGGGTAGAGGGGTTGAATGGAGGGAAGGGGGATGGGGAAAAAAATAAGAACCAAGATATATCATGTACAGGTCCAAATTCCCAATGATGAATGTCAGCATATTGTATACCTAAAATGTTTCAATAAAATTAATGAATAAAAAATATATTAATTGGATTATGAGGTTTCCAGGGTATAGACAATGGTATACCAATAAAGCAAGTATCTGTGGAGGGGGCATTTATGATTTTTAGCAAATACCAATTTCCGTAATAAAGTGACTTACAAATTCAATTTGTTTGTGAGGGCTGGTTGTAACTCAAGTTGGTCAATTGAAGGCTCCGGCTCCTCTACATAGACTTCAAAGTCTCTCTCCTGTGTACAAGCAGATCTCAGTGTCCTTAGGGAGACAATGGTCTGGGATTTCTCTATTAACACCACACAGAAAAGGATATTGTAATATTCCTTCCAGAACTCTTTAAGGGTTAAATCTATAACTGAGACCATCTGGAAGTACAAGTGCCTGGCGTTTGGGTCGCAACTCAATACTTTGATTATAAGTTAAAACTAAAATTCCAGTCGTAACCCAAGTTGTTCATATGTCAGGCCAGTCATAACTCAAGGGTCCACTATATAAATATGCCAGTCAAGGCCCAGTTTTAAAGGCCCAACATCTGGCTCCCAGAACTCCTTCCTATTTCACAATAGGCTCTCTCAAGCCAATAGGACCCAGCTCCAACCCATCCCTGAACAGTATTTTAAATTATGAGTAATATTGCTCTAAAACTACACTGAACATAATTTAATTTCTCCCTGATAATTCTGAAGGGTACTTCATGGTATTGTAGTTCCTGAGAGTCAACATGGAGAACATTAATTATTACTGCACTGTGAACATGCAGACTTAATAATCAACAGCATGGAGGGAAACAGTTTGCAGCACGGAAGGGATGAAAAGAAAGTGGCAGAAGCAGAATGTCCTAGCATCAGCTGTCAGTTGTATACTGTTCTTCCCCAGGGAGCTCTAGATGGAATTCAGAAGAGGCAATCCCTTTCCTTAGGTAAATTTATTATGGTATAGCAGTTATAGCAGTGACAGAAATCTTAATCATTTTCTTCCAGTGAATAAAGCTTTATAATTCTGTAAGTGAATTGGACTTTCACCTTAAGGAAAACAGACGGAGGCTTTATCTCAACCAGGAACAAATGGAGTGTGTAAAATTCCATCTTTCCCCTCAGCCTCATGCTACTGACTTCTGAATACCATTCCAGCTGTATTTATCTGGGACTTGGGAAACTTTCCTAGATCCTGGGAAGAAAGTGAACTAAACCAGATGACATCTCTGGCAGGAGTTACAATTTCACACAAAAACTTTCTTGTAGAAACTTCACATATTGCTTTCCCTGGTGGAGTCACTATCTGCAGGGAAAGCTTGAGTCTCTGTCAGCAATGCTGCTGAATGAAAGTGAGAGCTGAATGCTAAACCAGGCAGCCTTTGTTCCTCCAGGAAGTCTTCAGGTCGCCTTTAATGGGGGATGTCATGACAGAGAGAGGTGCTTCTAAATTTTTTCTTTTTGTTTTTAAATCATATTAGTTCCCCAGTAAAAATAAAAAGCAAATACGGTTACTATACCAGCAACTCAATTTTGTTTCCTATAGACAAAACACTAGAGTATTCTCTATTTCCATGAAAATGTGGTAAGGGCAGTAGTCCCTGGAGAGAGGACTGGGAGAGACTGGTGGTTATGTGATTTATTCCTGAAACAGTCTGACTGTGAAAATCAATGCTTTTAAATTTCAAAATATTCCACATACATATACATATACATATATGTATATGAACTTATAGATACAAAACAAGACAGTTATTAGACATCCTTGTAGCAGGGAGAAACAAAATTATTTCAGCATTTAATGTGGTTACAGACTGTTTCATATGGATGTGGCACAGGCCACTCACGTTGCCACAAATACAAGGGCCAGGATTCAAACCACCATCTTGTACCGGACCTCAGAGTGCACACTATGTAGAAAAGATTTTCAGAGCACAAATGTTGAGCATCACGATGATGGCATGGTATTAAAAGGTTTGACAATCACCTGCTGCAGGCGGCATGCCCATTGCCTGTAGGAAGGGGAAGGTCAGAGCTGAGGGGTGAGGGACTGGATGCATAAAGCCTTCGGTCTCTTCTTTAGCAGCAACTGAAGAGAGACAGGGAGGTAGTTCAAGTCCCCTAACTGCTCCATAGGCTTTGTTGTGTAAAAATGGACTATTGCTACAATTGAAATAGCAAAACCAATAGCCATTCTCACTACTGTCTTGACTATTTTATTTGAGACATTATATGTCCCTCACAGAGAACTCTTGGAAAACTTTTGCAATATACTTTTTCATGAACCCAAAATTACTTCCACTCCTTTATTGCAAGGCTACAAGAATCTAAATACCTGCCTGTAAAATTGGAACAAGGATTTTCTCACCAGTGAGTGAGTTCAAGAGCCCCTAAAAAGACTGTACTAATCAGATGTCCAATGAATAAGATAGGAAGAAGAAAGAGACAGTGCAAAGAAACAATCCACAGAGATAATGCAGTAGTGCAAGCTCTTAGACTTGGAAACTTAATTTCAACTGCTACCCCAAGAATTCCATAGCATGCTGTGTTTTGGGACAAAATCATTAACACGAAATAAGATTGGCAAAGACAAAGCAGTGGGGAAAAAAGCAAAAATCAGAAAAAAAATAATGATTTCATAATATCTCCAATACCAAAAGAACAAGTTTGAATAGTGAGAAGCTCGTGGGTTTTGGATAAAGATACAGACCAGTGCTTGACCTGGCTGTTCTGTTACAAACTGTACAATAATGCTGGGCAGTTCACCAAATCCCTCTAAGTCTTAATGTCTTCATTTCCTTTTTCCTTTTCATTGATATATGTTTGTAATACATAATATTTACATCATTTGTACAGATGTACTAACATCTGTGTATCACATCTTGATCATTTTTATCCCTTTTCATTTCTTAAGTGGGATCATTATGCCTAATTGATCAGACTTTTGTTTTTAGAAGACACACAGTAGAAGCTCAACATCACGCTAATCATCAAACAGCCAGGGAGGCCCTCTGCGTGGGCTTTGTATGGCTGGGAAGAGTGGACACGACTCCCGCAGCTGGTTTCTGCCCAAGGGGCTGAGAACACCAGGTGGGTGGCATGCAAAGGCTCCCATCCCGCTCCTGCGTGTCACTCACACACTTTCATCACCACTGGAGGAGTTTCTTGGCTGTGGTTAAGTCGCGCTGGGATGGTTTGCATCATGCACATTCCTAGCAAGGTAGAGAAAGCATGAAATTCTCCTCTCAACCTGTCCCTCAGCCAACTCGGTGCCAGATTTCCTCTGCTTCACCCCTCAGAAAATCGTCTAAGGAGTTGGCACCACATGGTAGCAGGAGGCCTTGCAGCTGGGTTCTTTTGCCCACTCTGTCCTGTAGTGAAGTGAAGACCAGCTTAGGGGTAAGGGGCACTGATTTTTGAAGTAAAAAAAGAAAGAAAGAAAGAAAGAAAGAAAGAAAGAAAGAAAGAAAGAAAGAAAGAAAGAAAGAAAGAAAAGAAATTTTTATTTTAAAAACAGATTCTGGCTATGCAGCCCACGCTGGCCTCAAAATCATAATCCTCCTACCTCAGCCTCCTGAGTCCTGGGATTACATGCATGCACCACCACCCTTAGCAAACAGACCTGTTTTCAACCCTGCCTCTGCCATGTGACACCTCTAAGCCCTAATTTCCTAAACTATAAAAAGTGATCATAATTATATCTACCTCATAGGATCATTAGGAGAATAGCCAACATACACTGAGTACAGTCTCCATGCCAAGTACTGACTATAAACTCATTTCTTACTTCAATTCTATAAAGTATTGTTAGCCTCATTTTATACATGTAAAAATGAAATGTAGTTTTTATTGCTTGACCATTATTCCTTTGGCTCTGTGTCCATGTTAATCTCTAGGCAACCCCAGCTCTCTCAGAGTAAATTAAATGATGCCTGGACAGCTATTGGCACAGTTTCTGGTAATTAGAAACTAATCCACACCTGGTAGCTATGGTAGGATACATAACTATCATGCATCTGACATTTCTTTGTGAATTCCTGCTTAGGTTCCCACTGGAATATTTGTTGGCTCTTATCACAGCATTTGTAGTCTGGTCCGTCAGAGATAAGGTCACAGATCTTTTGGAGCTATTCTGACTAAATTCTCTCTAATTTTTGGAAATTTCAGGGTATAGCTGGGCAGATTGGTCAACAGAACCTGCAGTAATTGTTCACTTTTCAACCTTTCAGTACCTTGATACTTAATCTCAACAAAACATTAATAGATATACTTTATTGCCAACTAACTTGAGAACTGTGCATCTTGCCAAAAATGTGGCCATTGTTTAGGTTAATAAATTTACCTATGTGATATTTGCCTAGATGAGCGATAAACTTAGTTGCATGATTTGAATGGAATTCTTTGATGTTAACATTGTGTGGGAGCAGGAGGGGGATGAAGACAGGAAAAGTTAGAGGGTTAAGAGTAAAATCCTGAGAATGTCTTAAATGGAAAAGGAGAATCAAATGACAGAAATAGGGACTATTAAGGAAAATGTAAGTGCATTCTTATTGGATATATTTTTATCACCATTTAGTCCATGTCTTATAGCTTTCTGCAAAATCAAGACTATTAAAGGCATCCTAAAATGATTCCATGCTGCACTTTGGTAGAGGAAAGAACAAGAGTTCATCTGGTGGCACTACTATCAGATGGGCCAGGGTTTTCAACATCAGCCTGGATACCAGCTGTGGAAGACTGGACACATTACTTAACCAATTTGAGCAGACATCTTCCCACATCGAAAATTGGAATAGCCTCATCCAAGACATTTGCTGCAAGGATTAAAATATGTTCAAGGAATATATATATATTCAAGGAAAATGATGGCAAAGATAGGGAGAATAGGGAACCTTAGTATACTGCTGGTGGGAATGTAAATTGGTACCGCCATCAGTGGAAAGTAGTACAGAAGTTCCTCAAAAAAATTAAAAATAGAACTACCTTATGATCCAGTGTTCCCACTTCTGGGTATATAGCTAAAGGAAATGAAATCAGGATCTTGAAAAAAATATCTGCACTCATATGTCTGCTGTAGTATGATTCACAATAACCAAGATTTTTAAAAAACTACTGAGATGTCCATCAATAAATGAATTGATAAAGAAAACGTGGTTTATATATACAGTGGAATATTATTCCACCTTTAAAAAGAAAAAAATTCTGCCATTTCCAAA